AGTGGCATCCGGGAGTTAAGCTTCCGAGTAGTTTTGGGCGTCTAGTATTCTGACATAATTTCGACCTAGTATCATCGACAGGGTACCCGACAGGTACTTGTTACTGACAGGCATTATCGACTGTACAAGAGTAATTCGAGATTCTAAGAATTGTCTGAATCCGTTTATTCGCTCACCAGGAAAGTTCCGCCAACTTACCATGGAACTTTGAATGGAGCCTGGGTAGATCGATAGAGTCTATAAGGTTATTTACAAATATAGATAGCAAAACTGCAACCTGCATTTCACAAGCAACTTATGAGCAGGTAAAGTTTGTAATGGTGCAGTAGGGTGGAGGCTTGGTAGGTGAGCTGTGAACCACCACGACTCGATTCGACGCTTGAATCTCAATAGCGATTCCTCGCTTATGCTTCACAGCTCACCACCAAGCCTCCACCCTACTGCACCATTACAAACTTTACCTGCTCATAAGTTGCTTGTGAAATGGTTGCAGTTTTGCTATCTATATTTGTAAATAACCTTATAGACTCTATCGATCTACCCAGGTCTCCATTCAAAGTTCCATGGTAAGTTGGCGGACTTCCCTGGTCAGATCGTTTCGCGGTTTTCGATCACATTTCTCCTCTTCGGGTATCGAGCATTGAATTTGAGGTCAATATGACGATTTGCGGAGGCACAGAGTCTTAATGGAACCGTTCCTCATACTTAGTGTACAAACACCTGACAGTAGCCGAAATCGGCGCATCTATTCAACGACTTCTTCATCGATCTCTAGGAATTCTGAATTGTGACATTTCTAGAACTTCAGTCCTTTTGACCAGATATCTTCTCATGGAGGCTGTTGAATCTATGGACATGGACAAAATGTGGAACCAAGCAGAATTCCATTATTTGGGAACTCCGATATCGTAGCCATCATCGCCGCCCATAGAGAAGATCAGTCATCAGCTTCCGCTCAATCGGTAACCCTTTCGCGCCTAAGGGCTGCGCATCACAATATGAAGTTAACCTATCCGTGATTCAAAGCCCCATCAAGATCAACAGGATTGGGATGAGGAACGGTGAGATAGTGCAAACAGTTCTGAATGCGGTCAAAGTTAGGAACGATAACCTGAAAATCGCAGCAAACCAAAACGGTGAAATCCTAGGACCCACTTTTTCTGAATTTCTAGAGCAATTCCAAAAGGAAGAGATAAAGACCGAAAAGAAGAGAACTTCGTGTGCTGCGGGTCTAAATCGGCCTTTTAGAGGTGAGGACTCGGCATGACGACCTGTTTACCGCACAGCCAGCTACACCGTCTCAAGCGCGCCACACCGAAGTACCGTAGAGAAAGATTCGGTAGACCGCGAAGTTCCTGCTTTTTATGCGGTCACGAAGGCCACTGGAGAGACGAGTTCCCGCACAAGAAATGGTATTCATTACTCAGGTCCAGTTCACGGTCACATTTTTATGTGGACGGCTCTCGAGCCTAATTCATTGGTTCTCGATAGCATTTTATATGAATATACAATTTCTTTTGATGAGGCTTCTGAGCCTCCACCTAGACTTAGGAATCGCAAATCGGAAATTGAATATTGCAAAGTTTGGGGGTGATACATTTCAGAATTAGTGGCTGTGGGAATGGTGGCTCAAAGCAGGCGATGGACCTCATGATACACCCACTCAGTGTGGCAAAGGGTGAGAAATTATGAATGGTTCCGGACCTTTCCTATTTGCGCGATAGTAACTAAGAACGTTAAATCTGACGATTTGAAAAGAATAAAGCACCTCTTACCTCCAGGGGAATAAATGACAACTTTTGTCAAAAGGTGTTGGCACGATAAATACCCAAGACGAGTAGGATCTATACGCCGGACAGGACGGAATTCTGCGCCCCTGAGCAGGCGCTGCGTACCCCTCCAGGAAAGCTTACCCTTATAAGGACCTATGAAGCTGCAAGACACCGACCCGGACGACCACCGCCTGCTCACAAGTGTACGACTGTACCTAATGCTTGTATTGCTTCATCTGCTGAGTAAAATGTGAAACGAAGGAATTGATATGAAGCAGCCGCGGTGCTGCATGGATATATGAGTACATACGTGCAGCCGTACCTACCGTAGCGGTTATTGGCAAGATGCCTACGGGAAACTCGTCCGAAATTGCTTTTTGAGTCATGAAGAACGAAGGCTTTTCTTCGCAGGTTTTTGACCGTTTCACTTCGTTTTTTCGCCATTTTCCCCACTATATAGCAACTTGCTAGCATTGTAGATCAAGTACCAAATTATCGTGCCATATGCCTTCAATAGGAGCACTGAGTCAGGCCGGGAAAAGTTCAAGGAGCCATTTGGGATGCATCATTCATCATTTCATGTCGCGGATGCGATGGTCGCCGTTGGGCGCACCTCGCGCCCAGGCCCATTTGCGTTCCCACGGCGTGCGATTCACGTGGCGCGTGGCCTCCGCCTCCCGCAAGCCCTGATAGTCAGGCATAATACGTTGCGACGGTGCGCAGCCGGCGGCCGTTCGGTTTTCAACGGGTAACGCGGTGACGGCGCCGAAGGTGGAGGGTGAACTCGACTACCCATGAGTCGGCCGATGTCATTCCCTGCTCCTCCTACTAGGAGCAGGATCTACTCCAGCATCGACGAGGACATCAATGATTGCATGGAGCATCGAGGAGTACCGTGGGCAAGATGGAGGCATATTGCGTACTCATGGGCGAAGCCGTGTTAGGCGCTATGCGTAGGCTGATAGGGCAAATTAGAAGCAAAGAAAAACAAAACATGGGTAAAGGAATACAAAGCCCAGGGAGGGGCTATTGCGTAGTCAGCTATGGAACGAAACCCATAAGATCGGCGACCAGGGAGAGAACATCTATTGTAGTGTGGTGAGTCTTTTGTAGTAAATATGTTCATTACAAGTGTGTAATTTGTGGTTTCACATATGGCCTGGTTTTGCCATTCGTTTTAATATATGTACAAATGTGGTGATTGCGTTGGTAATGGTGTTCTTATTAGACCATGTTTAGGTAGGGTTGGGTACCCTGGTCCTTGTCGTCTAGGGTGCTGGAGCGGTGAATAGGCGGTAATACCCCATGGTCCACGAGGTGTGGTCCGTTCCTTCCTGTTAGGGGGCGCAGGAGTGTAGTGGGCCCGATGGGGCGTCCGACTGTTAAGTCGGCGCACCGGGAGTTTGAGTGCGTTGACCGCCGATGCCGATCGCACATACGTGAATGTGCACCCCTCCGCGACATTTCCTTCTCTGTGGAATCGCAGAATCACGGAGCCGAGCGGGATCTTCTCGATCGATAAGTATCTGATATTTTTCATTAATGCCGCAAGTCTCCAGTTTTCAAGACGGCGGCTTCTATGAACAAAACCTACTGGTATAAGAGTAGAGTTACATAAGAAAGCCGACAAACAAATAATATTGTGTCTGAAAGGCACATTTTGCAATTACAAGTAAAAAGTAGAAGGACCCGGAAATAGGTGGGCTTTCGGGTGTGCATGGACCTGAGTCACAAGTCTGCAGCACGTTGCGCACTTTCGACTTCCGGAAAGGGAGCAGCATCTGTGCATCCTTGCTTGAGGACCGACATTATGTGCAAACTTCCACTTCCACCTGGTTTGAGACCTAATATCTAAACCATTAAGCTCTTACGTTTACAGCCCGGAACGACGCACTAAGTGACGCAATAAGTTGGTGCATCGGTTCAGCGGTCCGTCCAGGAAATATCCGTCCGTAGGGGTCGGCGGGATAAGGAATAGCACAGAAGGAATCACTTGGCACCAAACTGGGAAGCAAATTGGTTCGACGCCAGCCTAACAAAGGTTGTGGAACCCTCCTCCCCCCCCTGCTGCTGAATGAAACACCTTTTTTGTACATTCACATCTACTAGACAAGCCACCACACACTATGAGAACGAGTGGAAGGCGTATATCACAACAGGAGGAGTGAAAGTACGGAGATAGATGAAAGAAAAGTTTGGAGGTAAAAACCAAATCTCAGGAATGCCAACTGTCTTGACTGCACCATCATTATATTACACATAGAACTCATGTTTTGAGGCCGTAAGGTCGCTGGTTTAGGTTCGGTGGTAGTGTCAGTCAGTGGTGGAGGGCGTCTGCAACACACACTGCCCATAAGCAGTAAATTGGCAACCACTGCAGCGTAAAGTTCAGAGGAACAAAAAGAGATTTGTAGAGTGTGAATGATACAGAAGGATCATCGAGTTCACTGTGACTTTCCCTCCTTTCTTCTTTTATCAAGTTCATGCGCAATCAATCGAAAGGCAACAAAATGGTGGACGTCCAGAATAAAATGGAATAGGATCCGTTGAAATCAGCAGTTTATTGGTTGAAAAATATTCACTGAACAACTTATAATAATAGACTGTCTAAACATGGGAATGTTAACATTTGAAAAACAATCCAGGAACAGATAACAAGTATAACCTTCGACAGAAAAACAACAAAAGAAAAACAACAACTGGCAACAGTGCAGGTATACAGTGGACAACATGGGAAGGGTACGGTGATAGGTGCGGATTATTTCGTAGGGGCAGGTATGAAAAAACAAACCCACTACGATCGCCCTCCAGAGAAAGTCTATCATCGAAATCTATCTACGTCAACGACAGCTAACCTGTAATCCATATCCCAATAACCGGGAAGGCGTGGCTGCGCACTTCGTTTAAACGTTGCGTACGCTTTACGTGGAAAAATTCCAGTTGAGACAACGGTTATCCTCCTTGTGCAGGGCAAAGATATTTCAACGATTGTACTGAATGAGCAATACCCCACCAAAAGAGCAGCAGCAAGGGCCCGTCCAAGTGAAGTCACAGCCACGCCCAGTTCATCTTTGGGATATGGTGTATCTGGTGGGATTATGACATAACAAGGATAGAAGATCAACAGAAGTCCTGCTTGCATACGAATTCCTTCACATAACCGTTATTTTCAATCTCACATGTTTGCGAACAGGTGAAGACGTAGATGGAAGCCCAATCAATCGAATGACCTATAAAATAAACATTTACACAGCTTGTTCACCTAAAAAATAAACACGTCGTAGAGAATGTCAAGCGACTCTAGTAAACATTTCTTCACGCTTTGCAAGCCAATCACCACTGAGCCGCCTGCACCATCTTTACATTAGAGGATTTTTCCATTATTATTGAGCTTTCCCAACAACTACAAGCTAAACAATAATGAGAAACATTCCCTGATATAAAGATGTGACAATAAATGAAAATCGCGCCTTAAGCATCATGAAAATGCACAAGAAGCACCATGGAAACCGCAGTTGTGTACAGAAACTTGAAAGTGGACAAAACAGTATAAAAATATGGTAACTGACCAATCTGATCAACACCGATGAGGGAGAGAAGGTGAGGCATCAGCTGGAGTTCGAAGCTACGCGCTGCACCACATTTCTCACATGGCGGAGCCACCCCTAGTGGAGGAGCACGATCAGTAGCCAAAAGAGGAGTTCCTGAGTGAGGGAAATTTTGTCCAATTTCCATCTTCGCAACACAATGATCATTTTTTTTGTTCAGATTAGTACTTCCCCATGAAGGCAAGTTCAGACCAGGCCCTGCTCGCCGTGGAAGCATGTAAAGGGATTCCTGTCTGCCACTCATGTACGGAAAAACATGGGAGTGCATTTGGAGATTTCTTGAGGGATAACTGACCGAATCCCTCAAAATTTCAGTTCGTCGGACTCAACCAAAGTATCTGAGATGAGGGTACTACGTAACTAAAGAGCAATGAATAAAATTTCCAAGATTGTGGCTTACCTCCTCGCTGATATCGAAGTACTTGTGTAGGATTCAGATTGAGGAGACGGTTGAACCTTGAATAACCGAGATTTCCAAACAAACTGCTGTGAAGTTTTTCCAGTGGAAGAGTACCTCTCAAATTTTTTGTCGTCTCGCTGTTCGGCCACTGCTGCTTCGACTTCGTCTGTTTTGAAGTTCTCGTTTTGCTGCAATTATAAATAAAAATCAATTTCATGGTTTATAATTATTCCCTAAAACGTTTTTTCAAAAAAATTTTTCTCGATTCTGTCGTATTTACTCGTTTTTCCTACCCTTCCTTACTGATGAGCACGGAGGGAGGATACCGTGATTGTCTAGCTTCCGTCTAAGGGCACGTGCGAAACGGAAACTAGACTACTTCCTTGAAACCAATAAAGATATAACTAAAAGATATATAAATAAAAGATAAAAATAAAGTTAAAATTTTAATGTTTCAGTATATGTATATTATATCACAGGTTTGAACATCAATGTTATAATCATAAAAGTAAACTGATTAAATAACATGAAAATCACATTAAAAAAGGAAATTCACGCAAGCCTCTAATAGAAAGAGAGTCCCATTGAATCAACAGAAAAACACACTATGAACAATAAAATTGATCGATACATTTCTTGCGCGAAATCGTCATTCCGCTTTCCTAATTTCAAGGAAGAACTCACCAGCTTGTTTTTAGCCACATACGCTTCAAACTCTGCCATACGCTTCCTTTTTACATCTTCGGGTTCATCGTCAATACACGGCTCATCATCGTCATCGTCGTCATCGTCTTCATCACTAAGGGCCTCCAACAAATTTGCAGAAACGTATTCCTAAAATCGCCTATTACAACTCAAACTGTTTTTCTTTCCCTCAAAAACATAGATGACCCTTCCTCGCAATCAATGGCATCTCAACTGCGGCGAGCGATTTTGCTTTTGTTTCTTTTCGGGAATAGAACGTTTTCATTTCTCTCATCACGGAAATTCGGCGGCAAAACTCGAAAGGAAGACAAAGAAGAAAGAGCGCAAGGCCCCAGATACTTGAAGAAAAAGCTTCTATAAAGAACTATCAACCTCCAAGAAGAGCTCATTCTTCTAATAGCTATTACGATACATGATCAAAAAATTCTGAATAAAACTACTGCGCCATTTTAAACTAACCTGATCCATTTCAATGCCATACTCCTTGAAGAGGAACCTGTTGGAAGGGTTCGCAGGAGGTACTGACAAGTCAGAATCACCTCCTGTGCCACACGCCTGCTTGTGTCCGGTAGTCCAGTCCAATGCTTGATGGTCACGGCAGCAGTACCTGTTACCTTCGTAAATCAAAAGCGGTAAAAAATCAGTTGAGGAATATCGACAAGGTAATAAGGTACGCTGCTCAAATCAGTCATGAGCTGAATCAATGGTGGTGCAGAACTATGTTCTCCAAGCGGAATGTGGAACCCTGGAAGAGAAAGTCCAGAGAAGGAAGAACGAAACAAAACTGCTGTCGAGAAGGGCCCTTTTAATGTTCATCCTCCTCAAGAAAAACGGACGAGTGAATTTAAGTAAGGAAATGTCTGATGGCCTAGATTGGACCGTCGTCTAACTGTACCCCACCATATCGACAGTAGTTTTGCACTTGGAACCAAAGCTAGAAATGCCGATTCACATGAGTAACGATGGGAAGCCCCTGACTGATGTCAAGAGGGTTAGCGAGGGTTCAGGTGATGACCATCATATTTTCAGATATCCACGTTGTGACTTTTCAGTAATTGTTTGTTTCTGACTCGTCCAAAACAAAAGTGTTTTTTGAAGCTGTTTTTATATGGTAACTGCTGTTTTAGCAGCAGCTCGAAAGTTATCACAAGAATGCTGAGTTATGGGCAAAAGTCGAACCCCAGGCGGGAGTCGAACGCGC